ATCGTGGCAGCAGTGATCGTCTGTTAAATCAGTCTGTAAATAATATTTTGACATTATTATTATAATCATTATTACTTTAATGGCATCCGAAGATACTGATGCGTTGAACAGGTGACAGTCTGCGGTCGTTCTCAAAACGCACTTCTGTCACGCACTTCAAAAGCAACTTTCAATAATTTATTTTACGAAATGGGGGAAACAAACGTGAACAAAAAACGGTTCCATAATTCATATGAAATTCAAAAGATAATGAAAAAACAGCTACAAGTGAGAGGGAATAGTGATAAAGTGGTCAAACTTGGTCAAATCCACAGCCTCAACCCATCCGACACTGTAAGACTGACTCACCAGCAGACATCACTACATGAGGGTATACAGTATTCAGTATTCAGTCTGCCATTGTTCTGCCACGATGTTCTTGGCGCAAAGCCAGCATTTATACTTTGCCATGTGTGGCTTATTGCAATCAGGGGCAAATCAGGGGCAAACTGCACTCAGCTGCCAAACTTTGTGGGCGTGTTTGTGCTGGTATATCATTAGCGCAATATCCTTTGTGAATAGGACGTTAAGACGGAGCAAACTGAGGGTGCAAATGAAGTGCAATTCAAGGTGCTATCAGTGGCCGCAGTTCATTCTTTGTGAATTCGGCCCTTAGTGTTTAGAGTGAAGATTACTTTATTTTGAGTTAACCTCACTTGCAACAATAAGTAGCATAAGAGGCTGGGGTGCAAGGTGGGATGAGAACCATTAAATTCAAAAAGGATGAAATGCGCATGCGCAATAGAGTCTCCCACCAGCAGACAGACAGGGCAGCGTGCTGACCTGCTGAAGAGACCCTTCAGCGACCCTTCAGAGACTCTGGATTTCGACTCGACTCGACTCTTTCGAAGAATAATAAGGTAAGTTATCAAGCAAGTTTGTCTGTTAATGTGTTTTAATGCCTGCTATGACTATGTTAGCATTAGCTAGCTAACACTAGCTGACAAACAGGAACGGCTAATATGTGACTAGCAGAGCCTGTTCAGGCCATGGTTCAGGCATGTTTTGGCGGTTTCCCCACCGTCATCCCATGATCTGCTTAAAACCTACTTTAACTGTTCCCTAGCTTTGAAAGTCCCACATTTGAAATGTTGTAGCATGAGTTTTCTCTTTCCCCCAAGTTGACAACGAAGGCATTTTGGTCAGACTTTAGAAATTTGTAACGTGGAAATTACGATTTTCAGTGAACGCAGCATGAATGTGTTTGATGTAGAGACAAGGTTAAATGAGGTTCGTAATGCACTGTCACTGTCTTCCTTGGAGAAATGGCGAAGGGTGACAAGAGGCCACAGCAACAATAAGTTAACTTGCTTGTAAAAGCTAACAGTAAAGCTAACTGTGAAGCTGCGTCATTTACGTGTTGGGTGTAACGTTAAACGGTACCCAGCGGTAAGTTACACATTTTTACCTTCAATACAGCGTGGGTGAAGGAAAAATAAGTTACATGAGTGAAAGCAACAGTTGGGGTGTGTACATTAAACGTTAGGGCTGCCGCAATCCACCACACGGCCATAGTCAAATTTACATGGACTAGAGGAGTCGTTTGCTCTGTGTTAATTCGACTGCAGTTGTGAGTCTGCTGAAAAGCTGATGTTGCGCACCGGTCTGTGGCCTCACAGAGTGCACCGATGAACGAGTCCTCTCCTTGTCCCTCTCGAGCTATGATAAGCTGTAAGTCACATTAAGCGACCTGTGACAAACAATGAGTGAGAAATCGGCTCATTCTTTATTTTGTGTTGTAGGTGTTTGCAGAGTTCAACAGGACAGTCACCAAAAACCTACAGATGGACTTTTTTGATGCCCTGGACCACCACACACCACGCTTTGTCATGATCTTCAAGTCCAAGAGAGGAAGTGTGGGAGAGACCCTGACTGAGTTGGTGCAACAAATTGATTCAGGGCTAAGTCTATGAAAGGCTTCTTCTGTCTTTATTGCTCATGCTAAGTTGACTTCAAATAGTGATTGTTGTTTTGCTGCTTTCAGTGGTTAGAGGGGAGAAGATGGGACATGGCTGGAGAGGCACCAGTAGTATTTTTTTGGGGGGGATGCTACCTTTCTCATGGTTATAATGCTATTACCGTATTTCCTCAATTTAATTATTTATTAAATTTTATTATTTATTAACAGTTGGCCTCTTTTAGTAGCCGGGTCTAAAACAATTTTTAATAAATAAGAGCCAGCCCCTTTTATAAGCCGGTGGCTTTAATTTGCGGTTTTACAGCATTCATTATGATTGCTGCTGATCCAGGCGAGACGGCATGAGATGAGATGAGATGCTGCAGCTGCAGCGGAACAGTTTCAGAGCGACACAATCGCACAGCGCATTTAAACGTAATCTGGCACAGTGTGAGTGTTTATTAGTATATTTACAACGTAACCACTGTGGAAAAGGTCAGAAAAAAGCACTTAATCCTCTTTTTCTTGAAGTAGTTTCGACCCAGCGACATACACACTCACTGACAGAAGTGGACAGGAGAGGACGAGGGGGAGAGGGAGGAGCAAAGGGCTAGCTGCAGCATCACTGAACATGACGTGGTCACCGACAATCAGGAAATACCAGCACTTTAACTTAACAGTTTACTAACACTCTTGAAATATCAGTGCTTCAACTTAACAGTACAGTATCTGTTCTGAACTATCTTTCATACATGTAACAGACATAACAGTAAAGGCGCGAACATACTCAGGCGTACTATAAGCGGAGCGGACTCCGTGAGGAATGTCCGCAGTCATTCGGGCTTCCATAGTCGAGCGCACTTCCACGTTGTAGTTTACTATAAAAATGTCAGTGAAACACACTACATTACCCACAATTCTTGCGCATCGATGTGAAAAATACATGCCGAGCAGTCACTGGTGCGCGGAGCGGAGTCTGCACGGTCGTAAAATCTGAGCTTGCGGACGTCCGCGGAGTCTGCTCCACGTACGTTCCGCCCGAGTATGTTCAGGCCTTAACGTGGACCAGTTCATTACAGTATTTTAAAATTTGGCTGTAAGATTAAAAAAAAAAAAAAAAAAGCCTCCATCAAATAGTAGCCTGCCCCTATTTGTAGCCTGGTCCCAAACTATTTTTTTGTTAATAGTAGCCCCGGCTATTATTTGGGGAAATACAGTATGTGAACAGTTGTAATGAATTTGAGTGGGTGGGGGTGCATTCTAATGGTGTGAAGCTAGTTTTTGGCCTGGAAGAACAGACTGTTGCACTGTCAAACAATGTGTTGACACTTGTTTTATATAGACTTTCACAAACATTTTTGTACTGTAACTTTTGAATGCTGCATTATCTTGAGCTTAATTTGTTCATCATCCAATTCTAGAAACCAGATGTAATGGCAATGCGCACCATTGTACTCCGAGGCCTCCCTGTTCTACTTGGTGATGACCCCAGTAACTTCTACAAAGCCTGCTTCGTAAGTTCTCATAGTTACATCTTAAAGGAGCGCATACAGTTCTGGGGGAATTAGCTTTGTATTTATCAGTATCTCACTGAGAGTGAGATATAAAAAAAATGTAATGCCGAATACATATCCATGAGTTCAGTACAAACATTATGGGCTGCTTGCTAACTAACAGTTCGGTGTATGCCAACAGGGTTACCAGCCTAGCACCTGTGAAGTGAGAGGAATGCACCTTTCATCTCCAAAACTGAGTTATTTAAATACAAGACCGTGTACATATATTTTTAGTGGTTTCTGCATTATTTTGAGTTATCCAGCGGAGAGAGACAGGAAATCCAGGGGAGAGAGAGAGGATGACATGCAGCAAATGGCCCAGGTCGGATTCAAACCCAGGGTCGCTGCGGTAAGGACACAGCCTTAATATGTGATACACACTCTACCAGATGAGCCAACAGGGCGCTCCTGACCTTGCATATCTGACTTAAAAAAATTTAAAAAAAATAAAAATCTAAGTTTTAAATGCAGATGCATTTGGTTTGTCTGGTGGTTCACCTGGTAGAGACGAATTACATATCAAGGCCGAGTCCAAACCACAGCAGCTGGGGTTTGATTTGGAAGGAGCGCTTTGGTGCATGTCACCTCCTCTCTCTCACCTGCCTTTTCTGTCTCTCTACTGTCACTATCAAATAAAGCAGAAATGCCTCAAAAAATCTTAAATGTTTTTTTTTTTTTTAAGATATTTTTTGGGGCATTTTAGCCTTAATCGATAGGACAGACAAGTGTGAAAGGTACCACTCGTTCTAAAATTGGTTCAGTATTGAGGCGCGAAACGAGCTAAAACGGTAATGGGGGCAAATGCGTCCGGTATAAAAGTGCTTTTTTCACACATACTCATTTACTGTACCAAGCGGGGACACCCTCCCCCTCTTTGCTCCAACACTGACTGACAGCTGACTCCACTCATTTACACTCACCACTGCCCCAGGGCCGCTACAATGTGCTATCTACAGAGATAGCACTGGCGATCTGGGATGCATTTGCCCCCATTACCGTTTTACCTCGTTTCGCGCCTCAATACTGAACCAATTTTAGAACGAGTGGTACCCATGAATCATACGCACACATACACATGGGGAAATAGAGCCCAGGTTGAAAAATACCGAAGTTGTCCTTTAACTGGATTATTTTAGGAGATTGGAATCTGTTTTTCATTCATGTATAGATATTTGAAGCACTTAGGTTACTGAAGTAACATTTACTTGCTTTTTTCGAGGCAATCGGTTTGCATGGTTTTAGCAAGAAAGTCAGATTGCTGATCAAGTAAATATAACTTAGAAATGCTAAGTTACAGGGAATGTCACATAAGTTAGTCCAACTTAGATAAGTGTGTTGTACGGACTACACACAGAGTAAATTTTGCATGCAATAATTTAGTAGATTAAAATAGTAATTGAGTAGTCTTTACTAAGTTATCAAGTACACTCTACTTGATTGTTTTAGTTGCTTTAACTCATGTTTAAGTGTACTCTACTAAAGAAGCACTAGTTAGTAAAACTTACAATACCTATTTGTTTTTACTTGTTTTTTTCAGTGCAATCGGTTTGCATGCTTTTTTTAAGTAATGATAACTAATCGGATTTTACAGTGTACACTACCTCATTTGTACATACACAAAAATTGAAAGTGGAGTCTCCACTGAGTTTTATAAATGAGGCCCCAGGACTGAACAACTTTGTTGACCTGATGATCAAAAGTGAGATTAGAATTAAAGATAACTCCTAAATTTCTGGCACCAGGCTCAATGACAGGAGCCAGGTTATTAACTTTATATATTGTGACGTGTTCAATGACCTGAACAAGATTATTTCTGATTTTTCTTCAGTGAGTTGGAGGAAGTGTTTGTACGGCAACCACATTTGATGTCAGTAAGACATATTTAAGGACATCAGACTGCTGGTGGATGCCAATTTGATGGACATATAAAGTTGTATGTCATCAGCATAGCAATGAAAATAAATCTTGTGTATCATTCAACCAAGTTGAAGCATGTCGATACAAAAGAGAAGGGGGACAGGGATGTAGAGTTTAAGTTTAGTAAAATCATAATAACCCTCAACCAAGAGGGTTATGATCAGAAAAACATTAAAGTCACAGTAGCACATCATCAAAAAATATTGATTCCTTATGACTTTCATGTCATATCTTTGCATTTTTGACAAGACAGAGGACAGATTACCTGAAAGAGTCTTCAACAAAAGTGGTGCAGACTCGTTTCTTGATGATCTTGGGAATCCAGCTCTGTGAGCAGGAAACAGTTTGTTAGAACCATAAGTACAACTTATTATTAAAACAATAGGCCTTACTTACCAACAATAGATGCAGACATTTCTTCTTAAAATCCACTTACTAAGTTTTCACAAAGATTCTGACATTCACCCATGTTTTCTCCTCTGGGATTTATTTTTAAAGTAAGAACACAATCTACGCACACTCAAGAGCAAACGTACGCACATTTTGAGCTGACATGTTCATGAAAAAATTTTGGTTATTGTGTTTTTGTTAATTCTACACATATAATATTATAGGACTTAATTTACAATAATATTTGTACATCTCTCGCTCTCGCTCTCACTCTCGTTCTCGCTATTTTTTTTTTTTTAAAGATTATTTTTCTGGGCTTTTTGCTTTTAATTGATAGGACAGTGTGTGAAATGGGGAGACAGAGAGAGAGTGGGGACTGACATGCAGCAAAGGGTCGCAGGCCAGACTCGAGCCTGCAACCGCTGCAACGAGGCAATGCCTCTGTTCATGGGGCGCCGGCACTATCCACTATTCTACAGACGCCCCCACTCTCTCTATTTTAACATGTATTTACATCAGGTTTTTGCCTGGACTGCGACAGTGAGTTCAGGGCTGGAAGTGAAAGTCTGTGACTGATTAAATACTGCCACATTCTATTTCAAATTAAAAGCTATCCTTTCAAATCAAAAGCTTTAACACAAGTTCCAGCCATATACTAGGTTTTGATTTAGTCTTGGTTGCTATGGTTGGAGTCCACCCTCTTCAGACTTTCGTTCGGGCATTCTTGATTTAATTTTCTCAACATGTCTTCTTCTTCACTAGCCCTTTTCAGATAGGAATTGTGCAAATTTGCAGGAAAGCCCAATCAGTCTTTTTTCAGCATTGGCAGTATAAAAACAAAATTGGGGAGTTCGGAAAATTGCCGCCTACCTAATTTTGTTTATACAGAATGCGCCTTTTTCGGGGCATTGGGGGGCGTGAGCAAGTAACAAAACGTGTAGCTCAGCGTGTGACGTAACCAGTTACGTGGGAGGGAAGCCGTGGCTAGTCAGGCGGTGGTAGTCAGATTCTCTCGTAAGTCGGCCCGTTCTTCACCATCCCCGTCATCTGACGGCTAATGGCCTCTTCGTTTATGAGGGCAAGGAGGGCGCGCAATTCCCTGTCTCCTCAGTTGCTCATCTTTACAGTGTCTGTCAGGTTTGCGTTTCCCTCTTGCTACTAGCTGCTCACTAATTCCTGCTATCAGCTGTTTCCTGTTTATCCACCGCCTCGGTCTGTTTAAACTTAAAGGGTTCCACCAATATGACTACGCATCGGATCAACTCGCCATTCCGCCTCTGTGTGTATAAACACTGGCAGCTGGCCGGCAAATCGGCCCAACATTCGCGGAAAATCTGGCAGTGTAAAAGGGGCTACTGTTTGTACACAGCCCTGCAGTTTCATGCTCTTTAATGGGGATTTACAGGGCGTTTACCTATGCTTTCAACTTATGAAGACAATGTGATAAGAACACACGTGCAAACAATTCTGTGGTTTAAGAACACATAATGAATCTGACGTAGCTTTTTCTTAGGACCTTTCTTAAGAACAAATTTAAGAGAAAACTTAGAAGGAGATTTGTGAATGAGGCCTAGGGTTGCAGTGACACAGTGTAACAAATGTTAGGTCACCGCTTTTGGGAGAGCAACAGTTCTTCCTTTTCTTGCTGCCTTTAAATGTGCAAACTTGTTTTGCCAGTTTATATGTCTCACATGCAAAATCCAACTAACTCTGCTGACTTGTTCTGAATATAAAGGCAACTTCAACAAGTCATGTTTCACTTTACTGATGAAATTATAACACTACACAAAAAATTCCATAACCTGGAAACACTTACGGAGTTTTCTATGTCACAACAACCATGAGTCTGAGCTATAAAATACAAAACCACCTGTTTCTATTTAACTGACTGTTATGTAACTGACACCATTTGCCCCTGGGGTTATATTTCTCCTAGATGCCCTACTTTCTGCATTATGTACAGTTGAAGTGTCTTATAGAGAGACAATTAATATGTTTACAGGCACACAAGAAGCCTGAGGCAAGCTGTGTAACAGGTAAAAATATGTTCATATAT